GATGAAAGGGTCGTGGAATAGGGAAAGATTTGTGGCATCAGGTTTCTATTATTCTTTCTCAAAATTAATCAATTATTATTTCTCAAAATGCTTGAGTGTGTTTAAAAACAACAACAACAAAAAGTGGGCTCCAAAAAGAACGAAACAATAAAATTACCAGCAAAAAAAACCAGTTGAAACAACTATTTAAAACATTCAAATCATAATAATTAAAACCAGATTAAAACATGTGTCAACATATGTGGATCTGGATAGGCTTGCCTAGACAAAAATGTTTATCAGCTGCTGGAAAGAATACAGCCAAGGCACCTGCCTAAGGTAATGAGGCAAGGAGTTCCAAAGTCTGAGTGCCGCCTCACTAAAACACAGAACATGGTGTTTTGTCTATCTTTTTTGGTATTTTTTGTGTCTTTTTTGTGTGTCTTTTTCTCTGCAGCAGGCCGGGCAATAGAGAGCTGTTGATGGCTCACTTTTACAGCCAGAGAAACCGAAAAAGGCAGTCACCAAAGACCAGGATGACAGCTCACCGGTCTCCAACTCCTGTTTGCAAGCTGTAATTACAGCACCTCAGGTGATGGCTGGTGTCATTCTAGCAACGCCTCTCTGGTGAGCAATTAGGATTGCTCCACTGCTCCAGCCTTGTTGCGGGAGGCGGGTGGAGAAGGAAAAGGCAAGTTATTTCTGTGATCAATAGGAGCCTAGTGAACACTTGCCCCATCTGTATAATTAAAGCTGTGACTCAAGAGGAGTGAGAATGCCATCGCTGTTCCTTGGGGGTGGCTTTCTCAAACACTCTTCATAATGAGAGGCTGGAAAAAAGCAGCAATATTCAGGCTCTTTAAACCAAGAGCCTCAGCAAAGGGTGTCATTTAGCATTTCACAGAGGAAGGGGAGACATGTTGGGGTGTGGGAAGAGAAGCAAGATTCTCACAAAGGTTTACAGGCCCTCTTTTCTGTATATATTTGAGGTAAAATTAATGGCAGAACGTAAAACAACATTTGAAAGAAAGTAGCGGCTGCAATACACCACACACCCCAGGACCCTGGGAACTGAGATTTGTTAAAGAGAGCTGGGAATTACAGCTCCGTGAAGGGTAAACTACAGTTCCCAGGATCCAGGAGGGGTGTGCTTTAAATGTTTGGTGTGTATCCAGCCAGGGAATCTGTGGTGGCAAGTCAGCTCTCGGTGTGAAGGAGCCTCAGCAACATGAGTCTCTTCCTATGCTAATCACCCTGCCGCCATTTAAAATTTCCCACAGTGCCCCACATCACCCGACCTAACAGGGCTACAGGGCATTGGGGGATTTTAAAATGGCAGGAGCCATTGTCATTTGGTAGTCTTAATAGTCAGTGACAGTGTCATACACTGGAATCTAGTGCATGTCTGCTCAGAAGTAAATCCCTCTGAATTCAGTGAGACTTACTCCCAGGTAAATTTATATAGTAGGGATAGGGAATCTTAGATCTGGCCTCTGTCTTTTAATCTTGAAACTCTTCCCCAGATTATACACCCCTTCACCCCAGGCTGCACCCCTTAGCAAGCTAAGTCCCCTACCTGTCGAATTTTAAAGAGGTTTTGTTTTTGTTTTTTACATCTCATCTCCCCTTGTACCTAAACCTGTATTTTCAGTTGAACAAGCTGATTTCAACATGTCACTATTAGTAATCCTCCGCATGATCTGGTTATTATGGACCTTGACTCATTAGTCAAAGCATTTGTTCATATTTCGTATTATCGGCCACTATGTTGCTAGCATGATGGACCACTCCAAAATAGGGAAACTTCCTCATGCCAATCCATTGTTTGGTTCATCTTCCCCTATTTTAATATAGCACCCTTCTGTCCAACAGAAACTTCCAGGACGGCCTACAATGGAATTAAACAGATAGTTAAAACAATCAAAATAAAGTTATAAAACAATGGCCAAGGCAGCAGTACAGACTGAAAGGATCAATAGCATGAAACAGATTGAAAAAAATTGATCAACTGTATAATCCTATGCATATCTATTTAGAAGTAAGCCCCATTGAAGGAATGATATTTCCAGGTAAGTTGGTATAGGATATTTGTTTGAGAGTCCCAATGGCTGCAAGAAGATCAAACCTATCCATTCTGAAGGAAATCAGCCCTGAGTGCTCACTGGAAGGACAGATCGTGAAGCTGAGGCTCCAGTACTTTGGCCACCTCATGAGAAGAGAAGACTCCCTGGAAAAGACCCTGATGTTGGGAAAGATGGAGGGCACAAGGAGAAGGGGACGGCAGAGGACGAGATGGTTGGACAGTGTTCTGGAAGCTACCAACATGAGTTTGACCAGTAGAAGACAGGAGTACCTGGAGTGCTCTGGTCCATGGGGTCACGAAGAGTCGGACATGACTAAACGACTGAACAACAACAAAATTTGTTTACCTGGCACAAGAAATACCGTATTTTTCGCCCTATAGGACGCACTTTTTCCCCTCCAAAAATGAAGGGGAAATCTGTGTGCGTCCTATGGGGTGAATGCAGGCTTTCGCTGAAGCGTGGAGAGCGAGAGGGGTCGGTGCGCACCAACCCCTCTCGCTCTCCATGCTTCAGGAAGCTATCAGCAAGCCTGGGGAGCCCGCGGGAGTTCCCGCAGGGCTCCCTAGGCTGCGGATGGCAGCCTGCTGCCCTGAGCACGGGGCACGCTGAAGCAGAGCGCCCCGCGCTTCAGGCAGATATCTGCACCTGGGGGGGGGTATATTTTTTTCCCCTTTATTTCCCCCCCCCCCAAAAAAAACTAGGTACGTCCTATGGGCCGGTGCGTCCTATAGGGCGAAAAATACGGTACATGATAGGTGAATCTGTCTGGCGAGAGAATTCCACAAACAGGGAGCCACCACTAAGAAGGTCCTTTGCCTTTTCAGCACCAGTCTTGCCTCCAAAAGCAGGAACACCCATAGAAGACAATTTCAGCATTCAGGCATGCCCATGACACTCATTCCAAGTCTAAGGGAAAACCAAAGGAAATGAGGAAGATCAGGACAACATGCTCTCAATCCTTGTCTATTTTGTATTTATTTATATAGGCATTACTGTGCCATGGTTTCAGAACCATGTTCTGGAGAATTAGGAATGTTGTTGCACTGAAACTGACAGAGGGTGTGTATCATTACTATCCCCAGCAACCTACAGCTACAAGGACATACTGGGTTTCTTCTAGGCTGAGAATGCTCTCCGTTCATGACGGTGAATGGTGAAGCCTAAGAGGCTTGGCTGTGTGAACTTAGTGTGTCTTTAGAATGGTCCCCAGAATCCTTTGCAACATGCATGGATTCCATGACAACTAGACAAGACAGGTGGAGCCGTTTGTGGTACCCTCCTGATGTTGCCAGCTACAACTCCCCATCATCTCTGAGCATTAGTCATACCAGCTTGGAGCTGATGGAAGTTGTAGTACAACAACCAGAGGGTGCACAGTGGCTACCCCTGACATGAGAGTTCCTCAATGGACAATTTTGTTTTGGACAGGGTTTACGTTGACGTTACAAAACTTGGAAAACACCACCATGGATTTATTTCAAGAGTTACCCTACAGAGTTGAGTTCTTCTGATCTGGCTGGTCCAAAAGGAACAGCTGGTATCTGGCAGAGGGACGAAGGATGTTTGGCTGGTACTACCCGTACCTACTTTCTTCTCCAGAGCAATAACTGTGGGTTTTGAATTACATTGTGCAGCAGACTCCCATCAGCCTGTGAGGATCGTGTGATGCTTGCCTTGTGCTCATTTAGCCTGACTCGCCTCCTGCAGCCAATCGCCATCTCATCTGCTCTCCTCCTACCAGTCCCATTCCAAAGCCAGCGTTCTTGGAATTCTGCAGAGCAGATTCCTTCTTTCTCAGAAACACACTGGAATGTGTTTCTTGACATTTCAGAGACTCCAGAAGAAGAGCAGGATAGCAAGGGAGAAAGAGCTTTGTTTTCACCTACGTATGGGATTTCTGTGTCTTCCTGAACAGCTGTGATTGTCCACTGAAGTAATTTGGGTTCTTTTTTTGTCACACCTCACACTGAACTGCAGCCCAGTGAGGAATTAATTCGTTTAGAAATGACTGGTGGTAATATGTGCGCCAGTCAACTGCATGGAAAGCTAAATTCTCTGAGTGCAGTCTGCAAGCTTGATTCAGAGGTAAAGGTAAAGGGACCCCTGACCATTAGGTCCAGTCGCGGATGACTCTGGGGTTGCAGCGCTCATCTCACTTTATTGGCCAAGGGAGCCGGCATGCAGCTTCCGGGTTATGTGGCCAGCATGACTAAGCCGCTTCTGGCAAACCAGAGCAGCGCACGGAAATGCCGTTTACCTTCCCGCCGGAGTGGTACCTATTTATCTACTTGCACTTTGACGTGCTTTCAAACTGCTAGGTGGGCAGGAGATGGGACTGAGCAACGGGAGCTCACCCCGTCGTGGGGATTCGAACCACCGACCTTCTGATCTGCAAGCCCTAGGTTTTGTTGTTTAACCCACAGTGCCAGAGGTATCAGCTCACAATAGGGTACTGAATAGGACTAAGGTCGAGCATGTTTCCTTGATGCTGGTGTGCAGTTGCTCCTACACAGGGATACTGTTACCGCCTAATATGGGCCATATTCACACACTTTGCCATGGGTGGGGTTTGATCCAGGCACCAGCCACTGCATGAAGATGCTCATAGTCCAACAGGAACATTAGTTGGCTGTCTACACATTGTGCCCAGCTCTGCAACACCTTCCAAATACAGAAACAGTTTTTTGCAGGCTCATTTGCACGGAATTGCTTCGATTCTGGGCAGGTTTCTGTGTGCAAAAGGAATGGCAGTGAATATGGACTTCCTTTTCCATAGATGGAGGAATCCCATGGTTATATGTGCACAACAGCTGATCGCGCAACATGCTTCCATGTCCTTGCATGCTAAAACGTGAAGACAGGAGAGCTGTCTTTTCAGCCCCTTACTTGGCTGACCTGACTGTGTTTTAATTTGCAAACAGCTTCATGATGTTTTTGGTGAAGCAGCTCAGTTGGTTAGAGTGTGGTGCTGAGAGTGTCAGGGTTGCAGGTTCAATCCCTGTATAGGAGAGCTTCATAGTTCATAGATGATCCTCGGGGTCCCTTCCAACTCTACAATTCTATGATTTAATTGCACATTTAGAGAATTACCCATTCCTGAGCCTTATTCTTCACGATCGAAGCACAAAGTTCAGGAGACCTGACTGGCCTCTCCTTGGATTCTTTGCTTTACATTAAGCTCCTTTCTGTGAGCCTCTGAATGAAGCTTGTACATTGTACCCAGGTGTTGTTTTTATGTGCTTCAAGTCTTTTGGCTGAACTTCTTCTTGAACGATTTGTGTCGCATCCCAGAGTTGGGTGCAGAAGTACTGGTCAGCAAATTCACAGTGTGACCACAGAAGACTCCCCCTCCCCTTTGCAGGATCAACATTGAGGTTTAGCATCATAATGTGGGAATTCTGCCTACAATTATGGCATCATAGGCATTTTCCAGTGGATGCACCCAAAATCACGTCCCCGGAGAGTTGCTTCAAGGAAGTATGCAGGCAGACTTTGTTCGAATGGCGCAGCTGCTGTGGTAGGACACACATCACCTTGAATACCAATGTACAATTCTCTGTCAAGGATTGAACTTAAGGGTACCGGTTTGGCCAGTGTTCTGCATCAACTCTTGGGATTTGTGTTGTGACAAACCTATCTCTTCCCCCACTGCTCACAAATCTCTGGAGAGCGGTTTCTAAGTGGGTGCTTTTTATCTGTTTTCCTCAAAAATAAAGCTACAAATTAAAATTTAAATGAATAAATGTCACTTAATTTATGCATCTAAACACTGGAAGAGATGTAAGCAAGACAGGTGATTGAAATCAAGCTTTTTAATGGCTGGTAAATACATGTGCTGAATGTGTCATGAAGGTAGAGGGAAGTCTGGACAGGGGGCAGGTATGTCCTGCTTAAAAGTGCATAGACCAGTACTCTATAATGCTATGGTTCAATATTTCCCTACTTTCCAGCACCAATGAAGGGCCATGGCTCTCTGGCATAGCACCTGCATACAGCCCCCAGGTTGAATCACCAGCATCTCCAGGTCAGGTCAAGAAGGTTCTCAGTCCAAAAGCCTGGAGAGCTGTTGCCAGGCAGTGCAGGCAACACTTAGCCAGGTGGGCCAATGGCAGCTTCCTAGGTTCCTATGGAAAATGCAACACTCCCGAGGCAGAGGATCAACAGAAAGGATCCTCTGCTGGATTGCAGCAAGCTCTAAAACAATTTCACTCGAGGTTCTGCTTAAGAATCTAAAACTAAGTCAGTTTTAATGGAACACCTAAATCCTGATTTGCCCAAACATTCCAAAATGCATTGTCCCAAACAACAATTATTGTTTTTAAACATTTGACTGTACTAGAATGCTTTTGAGGGATTCTTTAAACATTTGTTTCTGTTCTATCCATCTCCAGCAGTTTTCCTTGAATAAAGTGGCAATGTTCTAAGTTAAGAGAGAGAGATTTGGCTCAGGATGGTGGCACAGGTCCACCACAGTTGAAGTTTGTCATATTTCAGGGACATCCCTAGGAAAGAATGTGGATTGTACCTGAGTTGTAGATTGCTCTCATCCTTCCTTTAAAATGTAACTGAGCCCCATGCAATCCGATTCACTTACCTGGAATAAGTAACACTGAAGTAAGTCTTAAGCTGTTCTTCCCCCACTCACTAGAAGGAATGAGTTTGTGCATGTGCTTTTACTAATAGCAAGGTGCCTTTTCTGGTTATGTCATGATGGGGGTCTTACGAATCTCATAAATATGTAAAACGATAGCTGTCAGGGCCTCACATCGTCCATGAGCAGATAGACTCATCCTGGGGAAAATATGCTTGTCTAGCAGCAGCCATATGCTGCTTCTGCAATGCATAATGGAGAAACGGAAGCCTGTTGCTCATTCCGCAATGTGCTGACATCGAGCTGAAGTCAAACATTCGTGGTCAGCACTGTGAAACGGAATGCACTGCTAGGCTTGTTAGGCGATTCTACAAACTTTTGTCGAGAGGCCACTTGTAGAATTCAGCTCTGCACATCACATATTCTGTGTATTTATACCTATCAAATAGAACTCTATAGCAAAAACAGAGAGGTAGTGTGTGCCACTGTCATCTTCACAACACACATATGATCAGGAAGACACTTGTCTGTAAACGGTTATGGCCATTGCTGCCTGTGGCGCTGGAGCTAGTGAGGCTGCTGGGCTGCCGTCATCCGCAGGTGTCAATGCAGTGGGCAAATCCCCATTTGCAGAAGTTCATGGTCTCCTTTTACGATTGGGTAGCATGGGGCCATTATTGGCAGCACAGTCCCTAGCTGGTGGGCTGTATCCATGTTTCCATGGATGCTGCGGGTGTCTCTCTTTCCCATACCATGTTGGCATAATTGCCTTTTGTGGTTCCCCCCCTTCAGTCCCACATTCTACTTAAAGACAGGTAAAGGATTACTCAGCCAAGTCTTTAAATACCAGTTGGTGGGAATCACAAGTGGGAAAAGGGCTGTTGCGCTCATGTTCTGCTGTGGACTTTTTTGTCCGACGGGCCACTCTTGAAACATATTGGACATTGTGGGCTTTTAGCCTCATCTGGCCAGGATCTTATGTTTGCCTATGCCTAACATTTCCACCAAAATTGATGGCCCTTCAGCTGGATTACGCTCTCAGCTTTTTCCCTTTTTACTCTTATGTTGCAGGGGCTCCAGGCGGGACTTTAGTACACTTCCCCAAATTCTGTATGTACTAGGTGTTATCTGCCAAAAGTACAACTCGTGAACCTGACAAGATGGGCTCTGCATTACAGCAGCTTATGCCACACTCAATGGCTCAATATTTATTTACCTTTTACTCAGTATTAGCCTTTAACTTGCCACTTAAACAAAAAACCTACAACTGACTTACTCACAGGACTGGTTACTTTTGTTGAGGTTTTTGATTTGTTTCCCCAAGCAACCTTCTTAGAGCAAACACAACCTCTATTGTACCACTGATTTCAGCCATTAGGGAAGAATTCTCATGCACATTCACCACTGGAGGAATACCAATAGCTGCCTTCCTGCAGCAGATGAGACACTGGCAACTTAAAGCCAATCCCTTGGTTTTCAGCGGAGGGAGTGTCCCTAAGGACTGATAATGATATTTAAGAGTTCTATTCACCAGGCCCTGCAAGGAGAATGGCTAACAATGGAGCAGGCCCCAGTAGAGCATCTGATGCAAGGCCCCTTCTGTGGTGGCTCTGGGAGTAGCTGTGGGGAAGGAAGTAAATAATTCAGATAGGTACAACACACAAGGCCTTCTGCCCTTGATGGAATGATCTCCATTGTACTGGTAGACATGCCCATATCCTTTTGAGGCCTTTATGCTAGTTGGTTTAAACCCCATTTGACAACCTGGTCATGAACAGGCATTTTTGGCTACAGGTCAATTGGCACCCTAGGCTTAGCAAATTTGAAGAGGCAACCACAGAACTACTGACCAAGGTGTCCATTCCAATCTTACATCAAAGCAAGGGGCTTTTCTCTCCAGCTCGCTCCCAGCATCCAGGTTCTTAAGACAGTACAATCTGAAGGAAGGAGGTATGTCCATAAGATGTTTGAAAATTGGGATTCGGGTGGAGAGAGGCACAGTGGGAACAACAGAGTGCATTGTTTTCCCGTCACTCAACCGTATTTGAAAATAGAGGCCGCAGGCCAAATTTGATTCTAGGAAACCTCCAGTGTCCCAAAGCCCATTTCAGAAATCAATCATCCAATTTCAGAAGTCAATCATCCAACTCCCATCACCTTTTTGCAGCCCCAGTTAAAACACTGGCAAGGAAAAGGAAGGAGAGAAGCAGATTATTAGAAATGTTTTTATTAGAAAAGTAAAAAAACCAACAGTTGCATAGGAGTCTTCAAAAACTTGAACATCAAGTGTATTCCATGTGAACTGTAACCAATGGAAGCACTACAGACCGACTGCGAGGGTTCCTGCCCCCCCCACCCAACCCCAGCCCAGCATCACCTCACACCTCCCTCAAACATACATCACCAGGATACCCAACCATGACAGAGCACACTCCACCTTGTGTGCCCTGTGCCTCCCACACTGGTCTCATTCAGGAAAAAAATAAACACGAACAGAGCTGCGTAAATGATGCATGGTGGATTTAACGCCCTCATTCATTCAGAAGTCCTTATATTTAGCTGCCCTAGTGTGTCAGTAGTGGAGCTTCTTCATGCCCTTCTGTTCAAAACAATGCAACACATTCTTGGGTCCCTTTAGACCTTAAAACACATATAAACAATTGTCCATGCACCTCACCACTCACCAGATATCCATTGATTACTATCTAAGTTTTTTTCTTTCCGATTTCTAAAAAAAGAAAAGTTTATCACAAAAAAGCAGGCAACCTTCATCTATCCGTAGTGGCAGCCCTGCTGTTATGTCATCAGCTGTCAGGAAAAAAAATACTGCTAAAGTTGTCCCACGTGTCAGACAAGGATTTTTTTAAAGCTAGCACATTGTTTCCAGGGGGCTTTTTTTTGTCAGTTACTAAAAAGCAGAGTGCTGTTGTTGTTGTTTTTAATTTTCAAACCTTGCCTTCCTCCTCCTCTTTGGACTACCTGCCTAGTATCACTTGTTAAGTCAATCTTCCATCTAAATCTAACCTACAATGGCTCAAGAGGACAGCCGCATCTTGGAAACGGCTTGTGTTCCACAGCCCTTTAAACACGCCTCCTCCCCACTTTGGACCGGTGCTGGCCATTATCTTTAAGAGAGTAAATGCTCAGTTTTAGTTCCAACCAGAAGACACTTCTCAGCACTCTTCTATGAGCAACTGCTCAGAGCTATACAGTTTCTTTTTAATGACCCTGAAGCCAGTGCTGAGCTTCAGCGATTGGCTGAAGCCTGGAGAAAAAGCAGAGCCGGAGCTAAAGAGTCCCTGGATTTTAGGCCAGAGGCGGGAATCCAGTCTTAGAACGAGAGTCAGCTGGAAGGTAGGCACCAGGCTGGGGTCCACAGCAATCTGCCCCACACTATGGCAACCCTTCCCTTGTTCCACGCACAAGTCGATGAGGGCCCCCCTCAAGCCACAGGGCTCCCTATAGGCCAAGTGGAGGAGCTCCTTGCCAACTTGGGCGATCAGCTGGCTTGGCATGAGGAGCCTGGAGGAGCGGTTGGAGTTGATCTTCGCTTTATTCAGACTGACTTGGATTAGCTTCATGAGATTGGCACACAGGAGCTCATCCTCCGGATCATTTAACAAGTCAAAGTCTGGCAAGGACACTTCATCCAGATATTCCTGGGCATCTGCAAATGAAGGAGAGACAACAGCCCCGTGACTACTCTGCTGCTAATGCTGCTGCGATACCTTTATTGCCACCCACCCTGCCAAGAAATCAAAACAGCTTTGTGCATTTCTTCGTTTTTAATTGGTAGAAGCCATTCTGGGCAACAAAAAGATCACATTATAAGCTTAAGGCAGCCGCTTCTCAGCAACCCCTCTGCTAGAGAAGGCAGGCAACAAAGGCAGTGGCTGCTTGCTGGTTTGCCCATTAAACATACATAGCACTTTAAATTCCTATTTTGACCTGTAGTTGCCCATAATGCTCACTATCTCCCCCACCCCCACCCCACGGCTTCATTAAAGTAGGCCAATTCTGCATGCACTTAAATGGGAATCACTGAAGAGCTCCTTTTCTGCTTTAAAGGGGTGGGAAGGGGAGTTTTTAAACGGAATTAAGTAAACATGATAGAACTCCACCCCCACCCCGTCTGTGTATGCAGGTCCCCAAAGCTCCCCCTATATTAGCATCCCTAGTCACCTCCCCCCAATCTGCTTAGACGTGGTACCCATTACAAGCAGCTCCCCGGCCCCAATTCTCCCAGCCCAGACCCGCATATGGAGGCCTAGGAGCCCGTTTTGCAGACATTAAGACAGACACCCCCGGTGAGATGGAGAAACCCCCACTTACCAGCTTCGGAGCTCAAGCTGCTATCCAGGGACTCGCAGTCGGAGCTCTCCAGCCGGGCGCTGCGGCCGGCGGCCCCTTGGTAGGCGCTCTCCTTCTCCCAGGCGAAGGCGGGCGGGTTCTCCCTCTGCTCCGGGATGGGAGGCAGCGGAGAGGAGAAGCTGTCCCACGAGACTGGCATCGCTGCCCTTCTTCCCACGGCCGCTTTTCCACACCGGGGGTCGAAGACGGGTGTCCGCTACTAGGATCGACGGCTCTGCAGCAAGGGGAAGAGGAGGGCGCAGGTGAGGATCGGAGTGGATCGGATCCCTACGTCTTAAGACCAACTCCAAAAGATAAAGGACAGCAGAATCGACCACGGGACCCGTGCAAAACGGGCATCTAATGGAAAACCCATCTACTTACCGGCTTCAGGGCGCCCGTCGAGGAAGCTAGTGGAAGTAGCAGCAGCGCTGAGCCGTAGGACCCGTAAGAGGCGCGCAGCTGCCCGAGCGACCCCACTGCCACCCAACTTCCCTCCTCTGCCCTTTCGTTGGCACTGCGGTTCCACCCCCCCGTCGCTCCGCCTTTAAATAGTCGGGTCAGGGGGTGTGCGCGCTCGGAAGCCCCGCCCCATTCCCTCCGCCGCGTTCGCCGCTTCGGCTCTCCTGCTCCGCCGCAGCTCATTGGCCGGGAGCGGGAGCTGGGCCGCTCCAATGGAGAGGGAGCGCACGTTCGCAACGTTCTCTCCTGCCCGGTTACAGCAGCCTGGGACACGCCCCCTCCACCTTCTCCTCCTCCTCCTCCTCCTCCTCGGCGCTGTTCTTGTTCTGCGGCTGCACGGGGATGGGGGCGGGGGGGAGGCTTGTGGCTGCGGCGAGGGGGTGGCGCAGGCTGCAGAACAATAGGCTGGTGTTGGAAGTGGGGGGGACGGGGGAAAGGGGCGCATAACAATGTGTGTGGCACCCACCCCTAAACTTCGCACCCCTCGATGCCCGATTGCAAAACTGCGCGTTTGCAATTGCACCCGGGTGCAAAGCCTGCAGAGTTCAACGGGACATCGCTCCCAAGGAAGCCCGAGGTGCATGCAAGCAGAAGGTCCCACGAACGCGTTTACCTGGAAATCAAGCCCCCCAATTGTGTGTGACAGAAAGAGAAAACTATGTAAATAACTCCCGCTAGGGATGGGAAAGGCTTACGGCTTCAGAAGAGCTTCTGCCAGTCGGTGTAGGCAGCACTAAGCTCGATGTGTGTCTCAGTATAAGGCAGCTTCCAAACTGGGGAGGGGGGGTTGCTTCTGAGTAAACCGCCCTTCAACGTGCATGGGATTCTAAGGGTGGGGAAGGCAAGCGATGGATCCCTCGCTGGGCGCCCATATCACGTAGCCAGCAGGCTCCGCTACAAACCAGTGGGGCCTGTTCTTATAACGCGCACTAGGATGGACGTTAGGAAAGGATCGGCGCAAGCCTACTGAAAAGCCCGTCCTATTGTATTCAAGTGCGGCTTACACCCAGGTAAGTGTGGGGTTAGGACCGCAGCCTTACAGAGTGAGTGGCGAGGTAGTTTTCATAGAATCAAAGAACTGCAAGGGACCCCAAGGATCATCCAGTTCAACCCCCCCCTACAATGTTGGAATCGAACACAATCGTGGAACTCGAACCCGAGACCCTGAGATTAAGAGTCTCTTGAGTTCTACGGATTGAGCTACCTGCTTTGTTCTCAATCCCAGTGTTACGGACGACCTGCTCTTTCCTCTCACGAAGCAGTGGCTCCTTTGGATTTTGTTTTCCCCCGACACACAATAGATCTGTAGTTAAAAGGAAGGACACCGGTATCTCTCACACACCCCGATCCTAACCACGATCCTTGGCCAGAGAAATCTCTTGGATTTCAAGGGAATATCTGGCGGCCAACTTTAATTATAATATACCTTCGGACACTTCCAAAGCTTAAAGGATCCGTTTCCTATTTACAGTGTGCTCTCCCAAAGACCTTAACCGTGTAGGTATATGGCCACGAAAGTAACAGTTGCATTAGCAGCCAGGTTACATTATTTTGACAAGCAGCCGAAGAAGTGAATCTTTCACAAAGCGGCCTGTAGAGGGATGTGTGCGTGTTTTGTTGCTGCAAAGATCAGGACACCCCCCCCCCCCTCGCAAAAGTACTTGTTATTATACGCATTTCCATCGGGCTTTTCCTTGCAATACACAAGAGGAGTGATGTAAAAACGGGTCGGGACCCGTGTCGGACTGGGGTTCACACGTTAAGTGTTCGCCTCTCTGTCAACACTTTGGATCTCCAAAAAACAACAGGGGTTTTATTATTATTATTGCGCCTGCATTGACGTCAGCTCATGTCTGGGCGCTGGTGCGCGCAGGGCCGCGCTATCGACTGACCGCCGCGGAGCTGATAAGGGCGGGTTTTGTTGCAATTCCTCGGGCAGAGGAGGAGGAGGCCGGTCGGTGCGACGACGAGCTCGGCACGTCGGGGAGCTCCGTAACTCGAGCCGAGCAGTCCAGCCGCAGCCAGAACTCACGCGGCGAGCTCGGCTGGGCCCTAGCGCCTCCCGGGTTCCCAGCCGTGTAAATTGTTGCGGGAATTGCATCATGAGCGAGGGGGGAGGGAGGGGAGAGGAAGCACCCGGAGCTGCTGCAAAAAAGCATATCGTTTCATCAGAAAGGAGGAAACTCCATATAATAAACTGCAGGACCTTTCAGAGGGCTTAAGGCCGGACTGACTCACCCGAGGTTTCTAGAAGAGAGGGCACTGAGTTTAGACAATGGGTAGGCAAACTAAGGCCCGGGGGCCGGATCCGGTTCAATCGCCTTCTAAATCTGGCCCGTGGACGGTCCGGGAATCAGCGTGTTTTTACATGAGTAGAATGTGTCCTTTTATTTAAAATGCATCTCTGGGTTATTTGTGGGGCATAGGAATTCGTTCATTATTTTTTCCCCAAAATATAGTCCAGCCCACCACAAGGTCTGAGGGACAGTGGACCGGCCCCCTGCTGAAAAAGTTTGCTGACCCCTAGTTTAGAGAAAGATGGGTCCAGTCCAATGCAGGCTTCACACATTAATTAGAGTAGGGGGGAATAAATGAATTCTGAACATACTAAGAGCATCGACCTGGTGTCACAATAAGTTATTGGTTAGGTTGAAAGAGCAATGAGCCAGTGTTCGGATTTCCCCAAAACTTTTCTTCTTAAGTTCTTAAGTCAAGCAAAACAAAAACTAAAACAGCTGGCAGTCCTGGGAAATGGTAACTCGGGAAACGGTAACTTCTCTGCCCAGCGCACCAAACTTTTTCTCCCATCTGCTGATGGTGGCAGCAGGCCTTAGCAGATGGCTAGCCAAGTTGCATATATTTTCGTTTTCTCCCCCTTCCCCCACCTTTGCTACACTTTCTCTGGCCCATAAGTTTGGCTCCTGTTTTTATTTGCTTTTATATCATAAATGCTTTCAAATAGGCAAAATAAAAATATTCAGTGAGAGCAGATACATTTTTAAATGAAAATAACTGGGGGTGAAATTAAGCTTGCCAAAATGGAGAGGAAATTTGAGCAGGTATGGGAGTTCTGTGCCCCATGGGATGCGGGTGCTGCTGTGGTCTAAACCACTGAGCCTCTTGGGCTTGCCGATCGGAAGGTTGGTGGTTTGGATCCGCACTCCTGTTGCTCTGTCCCAGCTTAGCAGTTCAAAAGCATACCAGTGCAAGTAGATAAATAGGTACAGCTGTGGCAGGAAGGTAAATGGCGTTTCCATGTGCTCTGGCACTCGTCACAGTCCTCCGTGCACCAGAAGTGGTTTAGTCATGCTGGACGCATGATCCGGAAAGCTGTCTGTGGACAAACGCCGGCTCCATCAGCCTGAAAAGCAAGATGAGTGCCATACTCCAGAGTCGCCTTTGACTGGACTTAACCATCCAGGAGTCCTTTACCTTACTTTACCCCCTTTTTTAATCTACCTGTGTGCCCTATCCTGGGTTTCAGTTCACAGCGCTGCATAAATTGAAAAACAACAGAGCAGGGAGGAATACAAAAGAGGCCTCTCTGCCTCTTCCCTGGCACCCTCCAGAACTTGACACCCTGGCGCCCCACTCCACTAGCTTCTATGGGTAAGACGCCCCTGAGAACTGGTCCCTGCAATCCATTTAAAATGTGTGTGAAGCTGACTTAGGTTTATTTCCATCCTACTCGGGCACATCAGTGGCTGTGTTGTGGTACATGTCCAGACAAAAATCCACCATGCCCTGGCAAGTTTTAGGAAAGCGGGCCAGTACAAATCCATGAGTCAGGAGATTTGCCTTAGTTTTGTTTCCCCCATCTTGGTGCTCTCTAGATTATTATTATTATTATTATTATTGGTACTACAACTCCCAACATTCCTGACCATTGGTCATACTGCTTTGGGGTGATAGTAGTTGTAGTCCAAAGCATTTGCAAGGCACCAGGCTGCCATAGCCTTTGCATTTCTGCTTATGTTCCCCACATGCACATAAACAGTGAGACTGAAATGAAGAAGAAATCTAGAGAATCCTAATTAAAATGTCTCTCAACCTGATAGTAATAATGCCGCTCAGCATTTTATAGAGTGCTTGAAGACTGCTCAGAGCACTCAATCTATATTATTATCTCAATCGTTCTTAAAAGAACCCTGTAGGCATGCCAGTGTTATTATGTTCATAATGCCAATGGGAAGAATGGAGGAGGGGCAGACTTCAAGATCCCAGCTGGCCTAAGGGCATCTACTGAGTTCAGGGATGAGGTGAGATTTGAACCTGGGGAATTCCCAGCTCACATCCTGAGTCATTCAGCTGCTCTTGACATGTCCGCCCTATCCCAAAGTGACCAGATTTCCCATCAAAGGCGGGCACATTTATTTAAATGTTCACATGTTGCTTTTCCAACATTCAAACTGATTTCCACCTGTAATTTAAGTTTTTTGTTTTAAAAAAATACAAAAAGAAGCAGTGTGTGTTCCTTATTTCAACAAGTTACTGTTTTCCTCCATCCTTCTCCAGAATGGCCCCCGTGATTTAAACTAGCCTGGTCCCATTGTTGCCTCGCAAGGTACCCCAAATTGCTCATCATTCAATTATTTTCCTGGCAGCATCTCGTTTTGCCCTTACATATTTATTTAGGAAGGTTTCTAGACTGCTCAATCACACAATGCTCAGGAACAGTATACATAACAAAAACAGCCATAAAACACAGCCCAAACCTATAAAACTCTCTCTGGGTTTATTCACGCTTACCTTTTGCTTCGCTGTTTCCAGGCACAGGACTGTACAGTGGTACCTCGGGTTACATACGCTTCAGGTCACATACACTTCAGGTTACATACGCTTCAGGTTAAAGACTCCGCTAACCCAGAAATAGTGCTTCAGGTTAAGAACTTTGCTTCAGGATGAGAACAGAAATTGTGCAGCGGCAGCGCAGCGGCAGCAGGAGGCCCCATTAGCTAAAGTGGTGCTTCAGGTTAAGAACAGTTGCAGGTTAAGAACAGACCTCAAGAATGAATTAAGTACTTAACCCGAGGTACCACTGTACTTGAAAGCTCTGTGTCCAGTGGTTTTGTTTGTTTGTTTTGCCCCAGAGTTCCCCTCCCCATGAAAACCCACTCTTTAGCACTCAATCAGAGCAAAAGTCCATTTTTGTTTTCCACAAATTTGTTTGTTCCAATTCAGAGCTAAAGAGCGGGGGTTTTCTTCTTGTGGATAAGCCCCGCCCCCTTCACATACACGTCTATTCCAAGATAATCCAGATTCTGTGGTTTGTGGATTGCAGTCACAGAAGAATTTAAGTTGCATCAGTACTAGCATTTCTGCATGCCCAATGGAATAAACACACACACACACACACACACACACACACACACACACACGTCCTGCAGCTTCTCCTGATCCTGCTTCCTCAGCCAATTTAGTGGTGCATAGGGTGGGGAGAGAGGACGCCCTACTGTGCTATCGGTAGTCCTTGCATGGTTTTATGCTAGCGGGACCAGAATTCTCCTCCACCCCCACCTCCCATCCATTCCGGTTTCCGGGCTGCTGTGCCATTTTGGCCAAGAAAAAGTTAAGTGAGTGCAGCTAAATCAAAGTCAAAAGTCTGGTGGTCTAACCCAAATCAAGCCATGGAATAGAGGTGCAAGTGATATAGGCACCACAATAGGAGAATGAGAATGTTGTTTGTATGACCGTGAGTGATGGAGCGGTCATCCAGCATTCACCCGGATCCACTTTTTGGTGCATTTCCCAGCCACTTTCTAGACATCAAAAGGTTGAGTTTCAGAAGTGGGCTTGTAGGGTGACAGAGCACTTTAATCCACATTAAGCTTTATAAACACGCACCCAAAGCTCTGGTAGGTGCTTAAAACCCTCCAGCAAAATTCAGCAGGCTAGAACTGTACAGAGGTGGAGGATCTCACCACCGCTGCCATGTCAGTGCTGTATATGTCAGAAGTGGCGAACCTGTGGCTTTCCAGAGGGTGTGCAACTTCAGATCCCAGCTTGCATGGCCTTTGTGTCAGCCTTCGCTCATCCTTCCCCACATTGGTGCCTTCTAGATGTTGTTGGCCTAACCATTCTCACCATCCCTGACCACCGGTCAGGCTGTCTTGGGATGATGGGAGTTGTAGTCCAAAGCATTTTGGCCAGGGGCGCATCATATAGGTAGCTGTTTCATGGCTGTATTTTCCCACAGTTCTGCAGGGCGATTTTGAGCTGAAGAATGGCAGGAAGGAAGAGCTAAACATCTGCTTCTCCCTGTGCCGCTGCCCCTGAACAAAACTGGAGCCCCGTGTCTGCTTTAATTGTTGTTGAAAGTCAGGAAATTTGATTACAGATCTCCTGTGTTGTGTCTGTTTAGCCTTGGATATGTTCCTCCATAAAATGTCCCAGAATCCTTTGAAGCATGATAGGGTTCAGTGCTGGACACTAAGGAGCTCTTCTTCAGCCAAAAACTGGTGTAAAAAAATTATTATTTAAAAGCAGAAAGATGGAGGGATTAAGTAGGCAATGACTTAATGATCAGATTCCTTTTATCTTCATAAAGCCAATGTTTATCAGGCATCGTAAACCAACAAAGTTCACCACTGAATATAGAAGATTATCCCCTTCATCTGCCCAGCCCTGTTTCCTCTCTCGTTAGAACCTGACATCCTGGTTGTGACTGCAAGCAATTGCCTTCTATTAAGATATTCCCCTGGTTTTTTCTCTCTATGCAAGCAGACACTGGCATTGCTACAGAGGCTTGATGTCAATGGAGGAGGGGTGGGTTCCTAGGACAGCAAATGAGAGAGGAGGTGGATTCGTGAATCAGCCTTTCTTTCCTGGACAACTCTGAAGGAAATGATTGAAAGCCTCTTCCAATGGAAATTTACAGGTATTTTTATTAGCTGCCATAAAACAAAAGGTAGCAGCCCTCGGACCACACTTAGAACCATGTGGTTCTCTCTATGTGGTCATGTGACCTTGTGTGGGAATATCGTGGCACCCTGGGTTGTGAAACTGACCGGCAAGGGTGTATAATCAAGGCTGCATGGACAATGTGTAGCATCATTGCTGATAACACGGACACACAAAATAGTTCAACCCACAGATTCATTTGTT